TCCAATATTACAGAAAGCAAAGAACACATAGAAAAAATAAATATAAAAATAATATAAAGAATATATATGTGTTTCCTGCCTGTGCCCGGAAAAAAACGAATCAAAATGAGCTGAACATGGTTTGTGCAGTGTCCCTGTCGAATAAATACATAGAAAAAAATGATTAAATAAATAAATAAAATACATAATATATAAATAAAGAAATAAATAATTAATTAAATAAATAAATGAATATAAAAAAGTTCCGGACTTCTTAATCCAATAAACGTTTTGAAGAGTTTAAAAAAATAAAAAAAAAATAAAAAAAAATACATGGTTTGATATATATATATATTTTTTTTTTCCTAAATTTTGTTTTGTCAATTTGTCAATTTTATTCTTTAGGTTTTATATTTTCCTGTTTTTTTAGATTGTATTTTTTTTTTTATGAAATTTCATTCTTTTCAAACATATTTTGTGAATCGAAACTTTAAAACAAACGGATCCAGAAATGAAACTTTTGAAAACTTCTTAATAAAAATATTAGTTTATTTTTTCTTTCATTGACAGATTTTATATTTTTAAATGATGTGTTCTTTATTCCTTTTTAAAAGAAATCCCTCTGCACATTCTGGGTGTTCTGAGCACCGACCAATAGAAATGCTGTTGCCAGGCAGAGTAGACTCATATTAATCAGAAACTGTTAAACTCTTTCAGGTTCTCTAATCCAAATAATGACGTCACTGTTTGGATTCAGATTATTAGCAGCCCTTTAAAACAACAGCTTAGTTTGTGTTAAACAGATCAAATCCTTTGGTTTTGTGTAAATTAATAACAGAGAAAAGCATCATTAATGCCCAGACTAACAACACGAATCCATAAATCAAATCACTTGAATTGTTTTTAAATTCAGTACACATTTTGTTTTGGTCAGGTTGTCTTTTTTTTTTACTGTTATTTTAACAGCTGAATAAGACATGGGTGACCTCTGTAGTATAGTTATTTTTGTTATCTGTTTTGTAAAGAACATGTTTTATAAATGCAATTTAAATTCTGTTTCTGGATGCCTTTTGAAAAACTTCTTAATTGATTTTTTTTTTTAATTTGTTGCTTTCTTAGATTTTTCTTTTCTTCATAGTCGATTTTTAAATTATATTTTCTGAAATTTCTCTTTTTATAGATCAGTTCTTATGAATTTGCATTATTTTCAAATTGCGTTTTATGGATCAGATTTTCTTCACTTCAACGCAACACAAACAGGCGACCCTGAACATGGGCGCGGTAGTAGACCTGTGACCACTTAGGGCAGCTTTTCCGCATTTTCTTTTCCAATGAATAGATGTCATGATTTTTTTCAAATTCAATTCTATTCAGTTTATTTCTATAGCTCCAATTCACATCATGTCATCTCAGGTCACTTTCCAGTTCACCAGATCATCCAGTCAGATTGATTCA